AAGATTTATTATCTTTAGCAGTTTGCAAACAGTTTATATTTGCACATGGAAGCTGCACATCAGATAAGATGCATTGTTGCAAGTACCGTTCATTGAAAAAACGGCTTCAGTTTCCACCTTCAGATAAAACCTCACAAAACTACATTAGAGCATATATCAAAAGGTACAGAGACTCGAGAACAAGTAAGACGGATGGGAATCCTACCTACACGTTCTACTCTGCTAGTGGCAAATAGGTGTACTTTATAGACTGCTTGATAATAAGGTTTGTGGGGTCTTTTTAACAGCCAGGCTGAGCTATGGAAACAAAAGTATGATTTGTGTGTTTCTTCAACCATGCATGCAAGCTTTAAACTCACCAGTTTGAATATATTTAATGTCTTTTTCATTATACATTGAACAAAAATAGAGCTCTGTTACAAAGTGACATACCTTAGCTTTTTTTTTAATTTCCTCTGAGATGCCTAAAGAAAGGAGGAGACATGATCTATCCAAGTCTGTGAATGAACGCATAAAATATAAATAGCTGGGAAGACCAACAGTAACTTTTCCTGAAGACTTTAAGTAGCCAGCCTTTGTGTCACTGCACAATTTTTATGGTTGCAGGAGCTTAGCAGGAAGCTTAGAGAGCTTTGCCTGTGTTTTGCTGCTTTTCTCATCAGTACCTTCATGCCTGCTGATTAAGGGGTCATAAATCTTTGCAATATTAGTACAGGAGTCCATTTTCATAGCAAATGACAACCTTCCCCTGCCTCCTTTTAACTGTTATCACACACATGCGGCAGCTACTTACACGTATCATAGTCACACACACACACCGTATATTCCATACAATGAATGCTCTCTTCCTGGAAACCTGAACCTCTTACCACTGCTAGAGAGTAGCCTTTACTCTTGAGGTCACCTAACTTGGCAAGTCAGTGAGTTAATGGGTCTGAAAAGATTATCCTAGACCAAAATTGATGTAAACATTCTCCTTTCAATGTAGAATGTATGAGCTTGGATGCCTTTCATCTTTCGCTGCACATTCCAGATGTTTGCTTCTTTCCTCTCAGCATATATACATGATGGGATAGATAATGCACTGAGTTCAGATTTATGTCTAGAGCATGGTGTGTTTGTACTCCACTTCATTACACCGTCTTTTTCCCTTTTATTTGGGAAAGGAGAAGTACCTTAAAGGCCTTTTTTTTAATTCAGATTTGATTTGTTTATTCAGTGCTTTCCAAAAGCAGTCTGGTTAGAGTCCCTCATGCCCTTCATTTCCTCTGCTGTTCTCCTGCAATATATCTCCTTTCAGTCAAGGGTGATTCTGTGCTCTAGTGGTTTACTCCTTCAGCTGCTTTGAAAGAGTTCCAGAAGGCAGGTCTCACAACTTGCTTTGGCATAGGCCTTGTTAAAAATTTAAATAAACAAATAAATAGAAATTCACCAACATAAACCAGATCTTTAGCATGAGGTATTTTGAGAATGAAATGCTAACTTTTCCCCAGGTAATACCCTAATGTGCATTCACTATTCAAGATTATGGGGAACATCCTAAAGCTACAACGGGTATTTCAGTTTTTACCTCTCTTTGAATGTCAACAGCTATCTGCTGTTGAGTTTTATTTCAGTTTTTGGTTCAATCTGAGGGTCTCTCAAACTGAGCTACTGTTAATTTCACTACCACAGGACAGGGCTTTTAGTATCATCCAGAAGTCTTTTATTTTTCCCAAACAAGAACGTTAGGTCTGTTAAAAAACATCTAAATCCACTGACCACAGTTATTCCTCCTTTTTCCTGTTTCTTTTTTTCCAGTCTTGCTCATTTCACTCTGAGTCAGTCCAGGATAGATTTTTTTTTAATTTCTTTTTTTCAACTCAAGGATGATGCAAACACACTTGATGCAAAATCAGTGTCAAATATCAATAAAAGAGTATTTAAAGACAAGCAAATGTGCTCTGAGCTAGGACGCCATTGCCATCTGAAAAAAAAAGAATTGTGGTTATTTCATTCAATAGTTTATCTTGTTGTATATCTAATTTCTCTTAAATTAGACAGCAGTCTTGTCCAATAGAAGATGTATCTATTTGTCATCAGATATGTATAAAAACTCTTTTGGAGGATGTTTTCCCCACAGCTTTCTTGATTCTACATTGTGCTACCAATTTCTATTAGGTTTTCTAAATTCTGCATGCTCCTGTCCTTTCTGTTCCATGTCCTTGCTCTCACCACTGCCCACTCTGCGTCGAGGAAATCTGTCACATTTGTTCTCCAGTAGGAGGGAGTTTTTAACCATTTACCTTAACACGCAGAGTAACACTTTCTAGGCATACAGTGTCCTTGTGAATTGCTATGGCATGTAGTCTTAGTTTACCTGAACCCTGCATATACTTCGCTTTAGGCCTAGCTGACAAATTCCAGGGATATGTTTCTCTCTGTTGAGTTTTAGGGAAAAAAATATTCAAAATTCTTGAAGAACAAGAGGTTACTCAAGTTTCTTTGAGTTAAAAAACACCATACACAAAGGGATATGTGGGAGGGAGCAGTTGCCTGGTGCACCAGGGAGGGCTCCTGTGGGGCCCCTGGGTATGGTTCTGCCTCACTGCTCTGTTGGAAGTAGCTCTTCATCATACAAAAATGAGCTTTAATGTTGCTTGCTATCCAGTGATTTGGATTTGTGTGTTGCATGCATACATATTTATTTATGCATGTATTTTTAGTTGCTTGATTATAAATCAAGTACCCCAAGTGTGGGGGGAATTAACCTGAAATATGGCTTTGATCGTCAGAAAGCATTTTATCTTAGGTCCTTTTCTTATTTTTCATAGACTCCACTTGTGGTAAAATATTGTTCTGGAAGTTCAGCATGCGAATTTTGTCATCACTTTCTGCACAAATTAACTTGAGATAAGTGGCTTCAGAAATAAAAGTTCACTCCTCTGACTGGTGGCATTTGGGAAGGGCTTTGCCAGAAGCCACTGCTCAGGATGGACAGGCAGAGATCCACATCCTCTGGCTGCCTCTTCCTAGGCCCCTGCCCCATGCATGAGGACATGCTATTTAGGTTAACAGCTTGGCCAAACATACAGCAACCTCAATGCCAGCCAAAGGTCCCCTGTTGTAAAGATGTCCTTAGCTGCTCAGTGTAAACAACCATCTTAATTCTTCAGTTCTCTTCTGGAACAGCAAAGGGAAGTCCCTCGTGAGCTGCAGTGGAGAGGGTATCTGTTCATGTACCTTTAAAACACTGTTACGTAAGACAGAGGAAATCAGGATGTTATTAGCGCCATCTGTATTAACAGGTAGAATGTCAGTGTACGGTTCCTCTGCTTTACTAACAGTCCCACTAGCTTGTGAGTATGGAAAACAGATAGAGAAAATTGGTCGTCTTCATAAAATTGTGTGCTTGTATCTGGAGTGCCCTAGTGTAATTCTGGAGTTTATAAAGTTATTACCTCTTCAGAAATATTATCAAGGTTTTAATCTGTCTACAGAACAAATAACACTCTCAAAAGATAAAATATTTAGGCTAACAAGAAAGTAAAATTTTTATCTCAAGTGTGCACAGTGATGAATTTTATCTTACGCATTTATGACATGCTTCTGCAAAGATGTAGGGAATAATTTTATGTCTTCTCTATATAGTTCTTAAAGGATAATGTGATAAATTTGCATAACTATACATGACTGTATAACATACTTGGAAATGGTTTTAACAATTTGACCTTCTGAAACCCTAAACAGATGTTTTCCTCAAGATTTCTAAATTTCTCACAAATTGCTAGCTCATCTTGCAGTTTTAAATATCCCATTTGGTTAGCCTTTAAGAATTACGTGCATTAGCTCTGGTGAAGGGAGGAAATTCATTCGAAATAAACTGTCAGGCTGAAAGCAATCTGTAGTCCGTGAACTGTCACACTGAAAGGGGCTTCATTATTTTTCTTTCCCTTGGCTGTTTTCTAAGCGTTTGCAGTGAATTCAGAAATCACTCTCAACAAAACTGTCTGTCTGGATCTTGGCTTCTCAGGGCTGCGTTATTGGAAAGCTGCTGTGTATGAAAGCATTTATTAGAAATACTTGAAGGAAGGAACTCGTCAACTGTGACTGTCCACAGATTTGTTCTTTTCCATTAATATTTTAAATTGGTTTTGTGCTAATTTGCATGGCTAATTCATTAAGTGCTCTTTAATCAAGGTTGTAGTAGCCTCTTCTTTGGCTGCATGTACCTTCTGCAAGAGGAGGAGGCAAGCTTTACATATGGTGCTCTGTAGTCCCTTGTCATAGTAGTATGCATCTAATGTCCAGCAAAGCCTCCCTCTCCCTGGTATCACATATACCTGTGATATGGGGTCATTCTGCTTCACTGAGCATAGGACTGATGGTTAAAAAAAACCCCGAGTCAATTTAACCACTATAAACTCCCATGAAATGGCAAGAGGTGTTTTCTCTTACATTTGCTGTGTCTTCCATTATAGTGTAGGAATATTATCTACTAGTGGTGTTATATTCAACACTATATTTTCCCAGTCTAAATATAATGGATTAATATCAAGATAATGAATATAATATCACATTGTGATAAACACCAGTTTTAAAGTTTTGCTTTATGCGCTGAAATTACTGAAACTGGAATTATGATGAGGCATAGAGATGGCCTTCTCTTATTGATCCCAGTACTTTAGGGATATCTATTTATGCGATATGATGAGATTTATAGTATCAATGAGAATGTCTGCAAGTCTTTAATGAAAAAGTCAGAAGGCGTGTTTTACTTTTTTAATCTTCTGTAGTTGACTTACAGGTAAAAGCTTGTTTTTTCTTGCTTTGCATTTTGTATTCTGATTTTAAAATTCAGAATTCTGCTTTTAATTTTTAATAGACCTTCATATCAACTTACTTGCATCAACTGAACCATAAAGTCAGTTCTGCAGACATGCATTTCATTCTACATTATGATATATCCTGTGTCTTTATCTGTTAAAATTCTAACACGGCTTTTCCTTTCTCCTGTACAGGATGACAAGGACTTGGTTCATGAGTTTGTTGTCGCTGAAGGTCTGACTTGCTTAATCAAAGTGGGAGCAGAAGCTGACCAGAATTATCAGAACTACATCCTGAGAGGTAAAGGAAGTGCACCCAAAAGTTGTTTTATTGCTGTGAAGTTCTCAGAGGTCAGCTGCAACATCCGTGTTAAATGTCTTGGAATATCTTTCTCAGTTTGGTCCCAATTCTTGCATGTTATGTAGGAAAATCGGGGGGGGGCAGGGGGGGAATATCAATACCACTGAGCAGGAAAAATTCAAGTCCATATTGAAAGACTCTGTGTTACCCAGCTTTTCTTGTGGATTATGTTGCAAATCTGTAATTCCAAGAAGGAAAAGGTGTTCTAAAACTTTCAACAGATAATTGTAAATGTTGAAGGGCACAAAGTGAAATAACTTCCCCGAGTGTGATTAGTAGCTATGGTATAAACAGTGAGACAGTCATATCTTAAGGTCAGTTGGCTGAAAACAAGTTTTGACTCCATATTTTGAAGTTAAACAGTTAGTCAGATGCTTACACTCTATTCTCTGCATTTAAAAGATAACTTGGCAAAGGTAAGGTTTGGAGAGTGATATTGAAAAGGTGTGTCACTGGAACAGAGTGCTGATTTACTGTAATGTGGCCCAAATGAATATATATAGTTTTTATCTAACCAGGAAACCCAGGCTGCAAACTCAAGAGTTCCTACAGTATTTCAAGGGGTTATGAGCGAGGGGAGAACAGTCGCACCAAGGGATCTTTGCTGCTGGATGGTCTTGTAGTAAATAGAGAGTGCTAATGGATGCATAGTTGTGTTAGACTGCTCATTTGAATATTCTTAGACTAACATATATAGCTGCCTTTAAAAATGTCACTTTGATGTATTTAGCTGCCAAAACTCAAACTGCAAATTGAGGAGTCAGACAAATACAAACATAAGGAGAAGGATCTTGGAAGAACCAGAAATGCAATTTATAGAAAGTGAGGATGCAAATAGTAAGTATGGCTTCATGCAAAGAACTTCAAGATTAGGCTGCAGAAATACCAGCTTTTGGGGGTATGAAAGAAACCAAACCAGTACCACAGAAATTATGTTCTAAGTCAGTAATTGTGCAGTGGTATAAGTGCACTTACATAGTAGCTTCTACCAAAACTAAAAGAATATTGACCACACTGAAACTAGACCACGACACAGGAACATGTGAAAGAAAAAAGACTTTCTTTACAGCTGAAAGAAAAAGTTTCATGGAGAAAAATGGCCATGGATGCTCTCAGAAAATTCTGAGCAAAGTAAAAGTGCTGTATAGGACAGTCTGGCCTTCAGTCTAGTGGCTTGTTCCTTTATCATCTTGGTATTGACCTACTGTGGCTGGATGATGTCTTTGCCCTTCAACTGGTTTTCAGGCAAATATTGAAAATTGAAAACAAGGAAGCCTGATAGGGGTTTACACTACTTGAGCAGTGTAAAGTCTAAGTGGCCTTATTATCTGGATAGCCCCGCAGCTCTTGTGCTCCAGTGACGGATAAGGTCCAGGGCACTAAGCCTCACCGGTGACCCAATGATCTACTGATAACCAGAGAAATCAGTCACATCTGAGTGATCTCACCACACTGTCACATGTATCTTCTTACTGAGATCCCAGTGACATCACCCAAGTATGGATTGAGAAGAATTAAAACTCCCTTTGATTGCTTTTTTTAGTTTTTCTTTTCTTAAAAAAGCCAAACAAACAAACAGGAATGAAACTTTATCTATATGACTAAGGATGCACCCTAATGCATCCAGAATTCAGGGAGATGACGGTGGTCTGTTTCTTGTTGTATTTCTTGGCTCTCAAGAATTCAGTGTCCATGGTCTGAAGTTACAGATTTTTCCGCTGGATTCACAGTGAATGATAAAACAGAGCCTTAGTGACAATATCCACGGCATTATACTAAATAAACTGCAACCTCATCTTGTTGCATTGTTATTAACAAGTGATGACAGCTTGTTGAAAATAAATATGAAACAAATAAAACAACAAAAAGTAACCATGTAGAAATATGTCGTAAAGCTAAAAACCTTTTAGGTATTGGTATTTTCTCCCCTGTTTTGCTGGTGCATGAAGCTGAAGTTTCTCTTTGGGTAGTGTATCCTGGCATCTCTTACAATAGCACGTTTTTTCTGTGTGATGTGGGGTTTATTTCAGAAATTTTGTCTTGATTGTTGTTCAGGAAGTTCAAAGCTTGTTACAACTCCAAGATTATGTCAGCTGGTTTGCAGTTCCAGGAGCCAGTGTGTACTTTCTGAATAGGTCTGCGTGTGCAATGAGATAAAGATAGGTTTGGAAGTACAGTGTAGCCAGACAATCTTATCCAAATACATTGAGGAGGGTGCTGAAAAGAAACATTAAATACGTCATGTAAGAGTGTTTCTGGTATATTATTTTTGGAAGGCTATAGTGATTGGTTGGAATTTTTTTTTGCGAGTGTTGTGTGTATTATTGCAGCGTTGCATTTTACTAAGCCTGGAGTACTGGTGAATAGGTGAAAATCAACTTTACTCAAGATACATCATAGTTAGGACTGAGGTAGTCCCATAAGCTTTAAACTCAAAGTTACAGAGATTTAAAAAACAAACAAAAAAAAAAAACACAAACAAACAAAGAAAAACAAACATCTTTGTCTAGACTTTTTGTGCCTTGCTGCTGTTGTATCCTTGTTTGACAGATCCTTTTGGAGTGGAATATATATTCCTTGTTTTCACTGCATTTAACCTGAATCATAAAGGGGTAGGATTTCTCCTTACTTCCGTGTTCTGGCTGCATTTCTCCAGCACCTTTGGTGTAATTCGCTCTTTTCCTCTTGTGATCCTAACCCGGTTTTCAGGACTTGTGACAGTAAATGGCAGCCTTAGGCACAGCATTGCCTCCTCTGGCTCCGTGTCTCACCCATATGGGGCTGCCCGTCAGCCTGAGTGATTTCTGAGTGTTTCCTGTGAACTTGTTTGCTTACACTCCTCAAGTAATAGCTTTGGACTTAGGAGGGAAAATAGGTTGGAAATATATGTATATGTGTAAGGGTTGTAGGTGGCTCAATGAGTTTCGAGCTACAAGTTGTTTCTTGAGTACAGTGCTTTGCTTTTTCCACAGGTCTGCGTTGTTTCACTAATGTTTCCTGGTTGTGGATTTCTGCTTAGTGGATTTAACTTGGTTCAAGGCAGACCGAGCTGCCAAAAAAAATGACTAAATATGAGTCATGAAAATTTTAGTTACTTTAATGGGTAAGTGAAGAGAAGATAAGTGTAGCTTTTGCGTGCAATACTGAGAAATCCAGATGGTTTATTGTTGAGTGCTAAGGAGTCACTGTAGATTTCTGCTGGGGTTCCCTGAACTAGGGTTGTTTGATAGTACCTTTCCCAGAACATTCCCTTTTGTCAATGTATAGCCTATGGGTCCTAAACCAACAGTAGCCAGGGCTTCTCTTGAGAATTATGCTGTTGAAAGATTAGCTTAGAAAACAGCTTTTGTTCCTCCTTACTTATTAGTTCTTCAGCCCAAATTTATTCTTCTACACTCCTTTTAATTATTATGAATATCTAAAGAAACTGTGTTTTGAGGTTTTCGTTTTTTTTTTTCCCGCGGAGACATGCTTGCTTTCCTTCCTCCCGTTTCCTTTTTTTTTAACTTTTGGTGAGCTTTACTCATAGCACTGAAGTTAAAAGTTCCTTTCCCAGTTGTAATATTGCAGTATGGTGGATGTTGCTTAAAAATTCAAAAAGAAACGGATATGGGTGAAAGATAGATGAAAATGTCTACTGATGAGGATTAATATAAATCTCACTGTAATTTTGAAGATGCTTTGGATATAATTTTGAGCTCTTCTATTTCTTGCACAGAATGAGAAAGCAATACATGACATGCCATGTCTGAGCACCAACTAATTAAATAATTGGTAGAATTATGTCAGTCTTCCTGTTTTCTGTTTATTTAGCCAGTGCTGTTGGGAATTGAGAAAGAAAAACAGCTTTTTAAATTAATAATTATAATTTGGCTGACAACAATAAAAAGTGGAAATAAATCACTGTATAAGTTACTGGTTTTAAAGCAGAAAACAGTTTTGCCATTGGAATTAGGAGGTGCCAAGGTATTTGACAGGATGGTCAAATGTGCACAGGAGCCACCACTTGGTCAGAACCACTGATGAATGCCCAGGCAGGGGTCAGGTTTTCTAAAGTGACAGGCGAACAGCTCAATCACAGACATGTACCAAAGCCACCAGTGGTTAGGCCTATTTATAAAGCCAGAGGCATGTGCTCCCACCTGCACGCCAACTTTAGAACGAAGGGCTGTGCTGCATATTCTGGGAAATCAGATTAAATTCCTGAAGCGACCCAATGCAGGATGGTAGTAGACCATCTGGTTACTGTCTGTCACCAGGACACTGTGTGCCCAAAGATGTCAAGGAGCTAGAGGAAGTTGAAGGTGAGGGTGAGGTTTTGCAAGCAGGCAGTGGAAGCTGCTGCTGATAACCCTTTTGTTCTGAAAGCCAGACATGAAGTTATCAGCGAGCCAGTGGCATTTCTGCATTGAGCCAACTGCTACTGGGAATGCTTGGGGTTTGCAAGTGTACTGTCTTTAACAGGGGGATGATCCATTTCCAGGAATCTGCTGGCTGTTTTAATCAAAAAGAGCCCTCGTTACTACAAGGACACAAATGCTTCCAGTGCTCTTGAACTTTCCTCCCTCTCTCTGATAGATTATGTGGCTTTGGCCTTGTGCATTCAAGGTTAGGTATTACAAAGCCTTTAGCATGGGGAAGCACACTTTTCTGCAGGAAATGCTGGAGTTATGTTGTGTGTCAGGGAGTGAATTGACTGCCTTGAAATCAGTGTTGTGAGTGAGAAGGCTGAATGTTTGTGGGTGAAGATTAAGGGGAAGGCCAACCAAGCAGATACCCTGGTAGGAGTCTGTTATAGACCACCTAGCCAGGATGAAACTACAAAAGTGTTCCGCAAACAACTGGGAGAAGTTTCATGATCGCTTGCCCTTGTTCTCGTGGGGGGCTTCAACCTATCAGATGTCTGCTGGAAGTACAACACAGCAGAGAAGGGACAATCC